AAAAAATGATGGAGCGGGACAAGAGGTCGGGACTCGCGGCGGGACAAGGAAGAGGAGGAGGAAGTCCGGGACTCGCGACGGGACTGGGACTCGCGCCAGAGGTCGGGACTCGCGGCGGGACAAGGAAGAGGAGGAGGAAGTCCGGGACTCGCGACGGGACTGGACTCGCGCCGGGACTAGGGAGTCGCGGCGGGACAAGGAAGAGGAGGAGGAAGTCCGGGACTCGCGACGGGACTGGGACTCGCGCCGGGACTAGGGAGTCGCGGCGGGACAAGGAAGAGGAGGAGGAAGTCCGGGACTCGCGACGGGACTGGGACTCGCGCCGGGACTAGGGAGTCGCGGCGGGACAAGGGACTCGCGACGGGACTGGGACTCGCGCCGGGACTGGACTCGCGCCGGGACTAGGGAGTCGCGGCGGGACAAGGGACTCGCGACGGGACCGGGACTCGCGACGGGACTGGGACTCGCGCCGGGACTAGGGAGTCGCGGCGGAGTCCCGGGAGGCGACGGCTAGGGAGTCGCGCCGGGACTAGGGACTAGGGAGTCGCGGCGGGACAAGGAAGAGGAGGAGGAAGTCCGGGACTGGACAAGGAAGAGGAGGAGGAAGTCCGGGACTCGCGCCGGGACTGGGAGTCGCGGCGGGACAAGGAAGAGGAGGAGGAAGTAGGAGGAAGTCCGGGACTCGCGACGGGACTGGGACTCGCGGCGGGACAAGGAAGAGAAGGAGGAGGTCCGGGACTCGCGCCGGGACTAGGAAGAGGGGGAGGAGGTCCGGGACTCGCGACGGGACTAGGAAGTGGGGGAGGAGGTGGAAGGCCGGGACTGGGACTCGCGGCGGGAGTAGGTGGAGGAAGGCCGGGACTGGACTCGCGGCGGGAGTAGGTAGTGGGGGAGGAGGTCCGGGACTCGCAGCGGGACAAGGAGGAAGTCGGGGAGGAGGGCCGGGACCAGGAGTCGCGGCGGGATAGCAGGCAGGACAGGGAGGGTGGGTGGTCTTCCACAAAAAAAAGTGTGTCTCGGAACTTCCTTAGTGCAGTAGGACGGGGGGGCCTGCCGAATCCCACAGAGAGTACTATGTGGGGGAAGGGTTCCTCTGAAGCGTCTCGGGAAAAGTCGTGAGGGGGTGACGGTTGCTCGGTGCCTACGGGTCCCGACTGCTCGCTGCCTCTTTGAGCCCAGTACCGACGTTCGCAGGGGGGATACCTGGATACTACTGGGGTTACCTGGATACTTCTGGCGTGTTACCTTGGATCAGTGAGGAGTGGGGGTTAGTTTCCCGGCGACGCGACCCTCTGAGGAGGTCCCGCGGAGGGTCGCCGAGTATTATATGGTGAGCTGGCTGTCAAGGATTGTGAGTCCCGCTGCCAAAATTTTTTTTGGTGCGCGGGCGACTGAAAAAGAGGGTTGGTCTTGTGCCGATACGCGTAACGTCGCAGCGAGTCCCAAGAGCTAGTAACCATTTTTGGCGGGGGGCGATGGCCTCGGTATGTCAAGCCATTCTCTCATTCATTTGGGAGGGTGGGGAGAAGTGTTGCCGAGGCCGTTCAGCTCCGCCTGGTCGACCACCACTGTGACCGCCACCGCGCTCGATCTCTATTGCAAGCTCAGGTGAAATTCCTGATAAACTGGAGGGGGTGTGGGACGCGTTCGCAGTGTGGGCCGAGGAGTCATAACATCCCAGGTCGGAATGTGAAAATGGAACTTCGAAACCGGTGAGAGTCTCTCGTCGGCTAGGGGTTCACAAAAGTAACATTTCTATAAATTTCTATCCGACCCCTCCATTAATTTGGAGGGGCGATGGGCCCCCGGGATTGACATACTTCTTGCTGATTTGTCTTTTGAGGAAATCCTTCGCGGTGATGGTTACTTTTTCATTTTTTAATGTGTGTATCGGCCTCGTCGGTTCTCTCTTTCCTGGTCACATTCCCGAAAAAGGCCGCAGCACCTATGATTCTCTTCCGGGGGGGTCTAACTCTCCCTCTCTCTCTATCCTTCTCTTTGTCTGGCTCTCTCTGGCTTCACTTTTTGTGGTGTGTGCCTCTGGGGGTCTGGTTGGATTTGCCGTTGGCTTTTTTGCCCTCTCTTTTTGCCTTTTATCCATCGCAAAGAAGGGTGTGTGTGTTCTCACCTGGGGTTGGAATGAAGGACGGGGACCTCCTCGTCTTGTGAAGTGGGACCATCTTTTAGGATGATGGCTTTTTGCTGCCTGGTGTGTGCTGGGTGGGGTTTGGTGGTGGCAGTCTACCTCTCCCTTTCTCCGGTAAGACCAGATGACTGGTTCGTCCGCTACTCTTGTGTTGGCCCTACCTTGGCCAACGGGAGTCGGCGACGCTCCAGACTGGATGGCATGATGTGGTGGTGTACCGAAGGGGACATCCGAAGGGGAAGAGGGGCCGAGCCTCGCGAAACTTAGGTGTGTCGGGTTGTGTGATGTCGGAGATCCATTTTTTTGTGGCTGCCGTCGTGATTTCGCCCATCCAACCTGAGTCGTTGCTGCGGA